TTAGTGGACTGGTGGGTCGTATCCTGGGTGTTAGTGGACTGGTGTGGTCGCATCCTGGGTGTTAGTGGACTGGTGTGGTCGCATCCTGGGTGTTAGTGGACTGGTGTGGTCGCATCCTGGGTGTTAGTGGACTGGTGTGGTCGCATCCTGGGTGTAGTGGACTGGTGTGGGTCGCATCCTGGGTGTTAGTGGACTGGTGTGGTCGCATCCTGGGTGTTAGTGGACTGATGTGGTCGCATCCTGGGTGTAAGTGGACTGGTGTGGGTCGCATCCTGGGTGTTAGTGGACTGGTGTGGTCGCATCCTGGGTGTTAGTGGACTGATGTGGTCGCATCCTGGGTGTTAGTGGACCGGTGTGGGTCGCATCCTGGGTGTTAGTGGACTGGTGTGGTCGCATCCTGGGTGTTAGTGGACTGATGTGGTCGCATCCTGGGTGTTAGTGGACCGGTGTGGGTCGCATCCTGGGTGTTAGTGGACTGGTGTGGTCGCATCCTGGGTGTTAGTGGACTGATGTGGTCGCATCCTGGGTGTTAGTGGACCGGTGTGGGTCGCATCCTGGGTGTTAGTGGACTGATGTAGGTCGCATCCTGGGTGTTAGTCGACTGGTGTGGGTCGCATCCTGGGTGTTAGTGGACTGGTGTGAGTCGCATCCTGGGTGTTAGTCGACTGGTGTAGGTCGCATCCTGGGTGTTAGTCGACTTTGTGTGGATCGCATCCTGGGTGTTAGTGGACTGGTGTGGGCTGCATCCTGGGTGTTAGTCGACTTTGTGTGGGTCGCATCCTGGGACAAAATTGACTTAATTTGCGGGAAATGCTCAGCATAACAAGCAGCTTTCTACAGAGTAGTATGTCATTGATGTGAGCTATGGTCTGTATACCTTGTACATGTTGAACTGAAGATTTTATTGTTATTTTTATGAATGAGAGAAGGGAAGTCATGTGACCTGCATAGGCGGGGCTGGCTGGGGGAGATGGTAGGAGTGGGGGGAATGGCTGAGTTGTGTTGAAGGAGGGAGGGAGAAGGGAAGGGTTGGGGACTGACAGGCACAATAATGTGACGGTTAACGTCTGTGTGATTAACACTGATGAGCCCCGACGCTTATTACTTCCTCTCTACCCGTCACCCAACACTTTTCTCGCTGCTGTCAGAGCCAGCTGCCGTGACGCCCAACCAGCTGCTGTGACGCCCAACCAGCTGCCGTGACGCCCAACCAGCTGCCGTGACGCCCAACCAGCTGCCGTGACGACCAACCAGCTGCAGTGACGGCCAATAATTACTCTTATTTACAACCACCTGCCGTTAATTTTCTGCTAAGTTTGTCTTGTGAACTAAATGATATTTTGGATTTTTGCTTCGAATCCCGTATATTAAAAATAGTGAGTTCAACAAGAACCACCAACCTCACTAACGAGCACCACCAACCTCACTAACGAGCACCACCAACCTCACTAACGAGCACCACCAACCTCACTAACGAGCACCACCAACCTCACTAACGAGCACCACCAACCTCACTAACGAGCACCACCAACCTCACTAACGAGCACCACCAACCTCACTAACGAGCACCACCAACCTCACTAACGAGCACCACCAACCTCACTAACGAGCACCACCAACCTCACTAATGAGCACCATCAATGTCACCACCAACAAGCACCACCAGCGTCACCACCAACAAGCACCACCAGCGTCACCAAGCAGGTCAGGTAATGTGAGCCGCCACCCCATCATCTCCCTCAGTGCTGGAGACAGTGACAAGTGTAGCAGTGTGTAGTTACTAGCCAGCACACACAACACACACACACACACACACACACGCGCGCGCGCGCGCGCAAGGTGACATGCAAGTCACTACCTCCTAAGATCATTCATGTCAATTGATCCTAAAGATGACGATTAGCTAATTTATTATCATTATTATTAATCTTTTTTCAGCAAATCGGCAGTATCCCACCGAGGTAGGGTGGCCCAAAAAGAAGAAAAAAGTTCCTCTTTTTAACTTTAGTAATATATACAGGAGAAGGGGTTACTAGCCCCTTGTCCCGGCATTTTAGTTGCCTCTTGCGACACGCATGGCTTACGGAGGAAGAATTCTGTTTCACTTCCCCATGGAGATAAGAGGAAATAAACAAGAACAAGAACTAGTAAGAAAATAGAAGAAAATCCAGAGAGTGTGTGTATATATATGCTTGTACATGTATGTGTAGTGTGACCTAAGTGTAAGTAGAAGTAGCAAGACGTACCTGAAATCTTGCATGTTTATGAGACAGACAAAAAGACACCAGCAATCCTACCATCATGTAAAACAATTACAGGCTTCCGTTTTACACTCACGGACTCAACGAACTCGGATCGTCAAGGTAACAGAAAATGCACGAGAGGTTCCCTGCTTATAAAGCTTGATTTCCATCTAGGGTAAAGAGGGAGAAGAAGGAGGAAGAAGAGCTGACTTAAAACCCCCGGCTAGCATGATGGAAAGGCTTCCATTATACGAGGATGCACTAAGCTCCTTCCAAGGCTGACGCTAAACTTTACCGTCTCCTGGCTTGCTGTCCCTGGTCTCCCAATGTTCTCCAGTTCCTCGTCTCATGGCTTGCTCTCCCTGGTCTCCCACTGTTCTCCAGTTCCTCGTCTCATGGCTTGCTGTCCCTGACCTCCCACTGTTCTCCAGTTCCTCGTCTCATGGCTTGCTGTCTCTGGTCTCCCACCATCCTTCAGGTCTCCTGGCTTACTGTCTCTGGTCTCCCACTGTCCTCCATGTCTCCTGGTCTCCCACTGTCCTCCAGGTCTCCTGGTCTCCCACTGTCCTCCAGGTCTCCTGGTCTCCCACTGTCCTCCAGGTCTCCTGGTCTCCCACTGTCCTCCATGTCTCCTGGTCTCCCACTGTCCTCCAGATCTCCTGGTCTCCCACTGTCCTCCAGATCTCCTGGTCTCCCACTGTCCTCCAGATCTCCTGGTCTCCCACTGTCCTCCAGATCTCCTGGTCTCCCACTGTCCTCCAGATCTCCTGGTCTCCCACTGTCCTCCAGATCTCCTGGTCTCCCACTGTCCTCCAGATCTCCTGGTCTCCCACTGTCCTCCAGATCTCCTGGTCTCCCACTGTCCTCCAGATCTCCTGGTCTCCCACTGTCCTCCAGATCTCCTGGTCTCCCACTGTCCTCCAGATCTCCTGGTCTCCCACTGTCCTCCAGATCTCCTGGTCTCCCACTGTCCTCCAGGTCTCCTGGTCTCCCACTGTCCTCCAGGTCTCCTGGTCTCCCACTGTCCTCCAGGTCTCCTGGTCTCCCACTGTCCTCCAGGTCTCCTGGTCTCCCACTGTCCTCCAGATCTCCTGGTCTCCCACTGTCCTCCAGGTCTCCTGGTCTCCCACTGTCCTCCAGATCTCCTGGCTTCACCTTTACTCTGCGTTATACGGATCTCTCATCAACATTCTCGCCTCCTACTGATACCGCCTCCTTGAGGCTGACATTACTTATTTATTTTATTCATGAAAAAGCACTGAAAGCCACTAGGGAGGTCATGCACTAAACTTAAACTCAACGAGGAAATATCCCCGGTAAGCAAACCAAAGAAAGAGTTGGACTCTTAGTTCATAAAGTCGACTCTTAGAATCCACCCGCTGCCCCCTCCCCCCTTCCACCCCGACAAGAAAATGAGATTGACTCAGTTTAGGGGGGAACTTGTGAAATTCGGGGTTCTCTAAATTGTTCCCATTCATTCTATCAGTATCTGGATTCAGCCCAATCTCACACAGACACGTTTACCATTCCACGTTTCCTAATTTTTTGTTTTGCCCCTCGCAAGCCGCCTTGCCAGACGCTGGTTAATGGGTTTCAAAGCCTATCGGCTACACGAGGGTCATTAAGGCTGCCTGTAATCTCCTCACCATCATTCTAAGATATTTTAATCCCTAGAATTGGGATTAACGCAAATTCTCAGTATACATACACTGAGAGACATGCACCCTCATACATCACGAGAAATGCACCTCTCAGTATACATACACTGAGAGACATGCACCTCTCAGTATACATACACTGAGAGACATGCACCTCTCAGTATACACACACTGAGAAATACACCTCTCAGTATACATATACTGACATGCACCTGTCAGTATACATACACTGAGACATACACCTCTCAGCATACATACACTGAGTTACATGCACTTCTCAGTATACATACACTGAGAGACATGCACCTCTCAGTTACATACACTGAGAGACATGCACCTCTAAGTATACACACACTGAGAAATCACCTCTCAGTTATACATTAGAGACATGCACCTGTCATATACATAACACTGAGACATACACCTCTCAGCTATACATACACTGAGTTACATGCACTTCTCAGTATACATACACTGAGAGACATGCACCTCTCAGTTACATACACTGAGAGACGTGCACCTCTCAGTTACATACACTGAGAGACATGCACCTCTCAGTTACATACATTGAGAGACATGCACCTCTCAATATACATAAACTGACAGACATGCACCTCTCAGTTACATACAGTGAGAGACATGCACCTCTCAGCATACATACACTGAGAGACATACACCTCTCAGCATACATACACTGAGAGACGTGGACCTCTCAGTTACATACACTGAGAGACATGCACCTCTCAGTTACATACATTGAGAGACATGCACCTCTCAATATACATAAAATGACAGACATGCACCTCTCAGTTACATACAGTGAGAGACATGCACCTCTCAGCATACATACACTGAGAGACATACACCTCTCAGCATACATACACTGAGAGACATACACCTCTCAGTATACATACACTAACAGACATGCACCTCTCGGTGTATATATTACGCATATACAGTTCCCTCTGCCCCAGTATACACATACACCACTTCACGACCTGATAAAACCTCTACTGAGAGCGAGGCGTCGAACTAGCATACAAAACAAAAACTTAAGTTCCCCCCACCTCCCTTTTTTCCTTCTGGTGACATGACTCACCCCTTCTTGACAGCCTTGATGCCCTCGATGGGACTGGATTGGTTAAACTGCCGCATGTACGCGTGCATCACCGGGAACGACTTCTTCATCAGAACGTCTGTGTTACCGTGCAGTGTCGTGGCGAACTTGAACGCTGGCTTCATTGTTGTCGGGTTCTGTAGCTGTCAGAAAAGGGGAAAATATATATATACTATACATATTTTTTTTTTTTTAGAATTACCCCCCCTTAAAAAAATATCTGGGATGATCGCTTAAAAAATGAAACAAAAAAGATGGTAATATATTTCTGGCAGGTTTATTTTGTTATTGTTGTTGTTGTTAGATACTAAAATGAGTTTATATATATATACATAAATAAAATATTCGCCGGTATTCTCCCGGCCCAGGTCTTTTCTTAAAATAATAATGTAACAATTATAATAATTATATAATAACAATAATAATATAACAACAATAATAATTATATAATAATAATAATATAATAATAACTATTGTATATAAATATTATATAACGATAATAATAATAATGATAAGCATCGGAGCAGAGCAATACAATGTGGCTTAATATTTGCAAGTGTCAACGTGATGATGGGAAAACAAGGAGAAATGTGATGTTGCCACATGTGTGTGTGCCACAGTGTGTGTGCCCAAGTGTGTGTGTGCCACATGTGTGGTGCCACATGTGTGATGTGTGCCACAGTGTGTGTGTGCCAAGTGTGTGTTGCCACAGTGTGTGGTGCCACAGTGTGTGTGTGCCACAGTGTGTGTGATGCCACAGTGTGTGTGTGCCACAGTTGTGTGTGCCACAGTGTGTGTGCCACAGTGTGTGTGTGCCACAGTGTAGTGTGTGCCACAGTGTGTTTGTGCCACAGTGTTTGTGCCACAGTGTGTGTGTGCCACAGTGTTGTGTGCCAACAGTGTGTGTGATCCACAGTGTGTGTGTCCACAGGTGTGTGTGTGCAAGTGTGTGTGTGCCACAGTGTGTGTGTGCCACAGTGTGTGTGTGCCACAGTGTGTGTGTGCCACAGTGTGTGTGTGCCACAGTGTGTGTGCCACAGTGTGTGTGTGCCACAGTGTGTGTGTGTCACCTGGGATGGGAGTGTCACTACCAGTTTCACATGGGATGGGAGTGTCACTACCAGTGTCACCTGGGATGGGAGTGTCACTACTAGTGTCACCAGTCTCAGGTAGTGATGGGTGCATGATCACACACACACACACAAGGGTGAGGGGTATCTCAGGGTTATAATATTAATTCAGGAGCACCTCTAACACACGTACACATATACGAGTGTGTTGATAGAGAAATATCCTAGTATCAACAGTAAGCCAACACGAGGCTACGGTAGGAAATCGAGGAAGAAGTGAATCCAGGGGTGAAAATATCGAATTTGTCTTTGAAGAATGATTGATAAATGAGGTGATTGCGTATATGGTTCTCTTGGTTAATTGGGTTTTAAAGTAAGGGCTAAGGACTTCCAGGGCAGCCTGCTGGAACAGTGCCGTCTTAGAGCAGTGGTTTGAAGATGTATCTGGTCATTCAGTCTCTCTCAATGATCTTCATGCAGCTGATGAGGTATACTATCAGCAGTGCAGCAGTAATTTTAAGAAGAGAGGCATCCGTCAGATAAGACAAAAACTGAAACCTTTCACATAGTAAATCATCCAGTACAGAAGCTGGAAGAATATAGAGCTTAATATAAGAAGGAACTGTAGGTGACTATATCATCGTAACACTTAACCTCTTGAAGCAGTCTGTGATTGCAGCAGATTCCATCCTGTATTCCCTCCACCAACAGTCAAAATATAAGGATCCTGAAGATGAGAAAATGACTATAATGGAAACAGATGCCAAGTTTATTGTCAGTGAAAAAATCCTTGGAAAGTGGTACACACGGGCATCATACGAGCGATGACACTGGCAGCATTGAATCAAACCTGGACTGCCTTCCACTGATATTACTGATCTTCTTTAAAAGTACATTTACTGGGAAGAATACAGACCTAAAAGTAGCATAAACTGGGCAAGATATAATGCAGACAGTTCGCTCGAAGGGCTCTCCTTGCTCCTCTGCAACCTAGTCCTGGTATTCAGATGTACCATCACATTGCTTCACAATATTTAGTGAACACCCTCCATGAACATGGGTTTTTTTTCTACCTACAGAGAAGTATGAGCGAGGTGCTGCTGTGCTGCTATTACTAGTGAAACTATTACAACTGTATACGTTAAAGAGCAGCAACATATGCAGTAGAGTGCAGGTAACATAGAGTACAATGTAGCAACTACTGATAGAACCGGGACATTCTACAGACTGGGTATTACAGCTGCAATAACACCAGGGTTAAAACTTCATGAAGGTTAATAAATAAAGTCCAGGTGTTAGTTGAGGACATTGCAAAAGTGGGTCAGATCAATATTCAGTATTTTAGGAAGTCAGTAAGTGCTCTTTCTCTTGTCTACGAACCTTCTCGTGACATATTTATTGATGATTTTACAGTTTCCCTGGGTATTCTGTGGCAGTCATCTCTGCTATATCTTTGTCCAGTATGGTCTAGGTTTATTCACATAATACAAACTGGTCACTTTCCAGGAAAGTCTTCCGTTTGCTACTCACCCAAACTATCTTTTCTGTATCTATTCCACCCCCGACTTTGTCTTCGAATAAGTCAGTAACGTAGGATTATTGCAGTTCTAATGTTCAGCCAACCTTTCTACTGGAAGGCACTCAAAATATTCCAGTCTCAACCCCGAAAGCAGTGATGTCAGAAATATTGTGTTGTCTGAGACAGTTGCACATGGAAATGAACTTTTGTGGTAGTATTGGACATCTAATGACTGACTCGGATTTAAAAGGGGTCTTGAGGTGGTTTATGCCGAAAGTACAGCGATCCACATTATGCCTGGGAAGACTTGCTCACGAGGATATATCTTCATCGACGCTGCGCTCACCACTATCCTTTCGGCAGATATCCGTGAGACACCAGTCCTCGCGGTGAATGTGTGGAGGATACTGGAAATGGCATGGTAGCTGGTGATCTGCATGCCGAGAATAAATCACCTCAGCAGCAGACAGATCACCTGGAAAACCAAAGGACTGAGGCAGCAAATTAATGTGAGAGAGCAGTGTCAGCGGCAATATCTCTGCAAGATTTAATCTCAGCTGAAGTGTTAGAGGAGACCTCGGCAGGCTGCTCCAGAAGGAAGCCTGGTTGACATTTAAGATAGCGATGCTGTGGTTATAATCCATGAAGATGGTACACATTTTCCAACGATAAAGGCGACCACGATAAAGATCTTGATAATCTATCTACGCTGCAGATGATATCACACACACACACACACACACACAAACACACACACACACACACACACACACACACACACACACACACACACACACACACACACACACACACACACACACACATGTGACAATGACTTCAGATAAATGACAGAGACCTCAGATAAGTGACAGAGACCTCAGATAAGTGACAGAGACCTCAGTTAAGTGACAGAGACCTCAGATAAGAGTTGGTGTACACTTACTCGCTTGTCCTCGATGCCTGAGAGGTCATAAAATTCCTCCCGAGTGATCATGAAGGCGGCCAAGTTGGCCGTGTAGATGGCCAGGAAGATGAGTGCGAACATGGCCCACACGTTACCCATGAACCTGGGGAACATGCACAGTTATTAGTTGAAGAACATGGCCCACACGTTACCCATGAACCTGGGGAACATGCACAGTTATTAGTTGAAGAACATGGCCCACACGTTACCCATGAACCTGGGGAACATGCACAGTTATTAGTTGAAGAACATGGCCCACACGTTGCCTATGAACCTAGAAACAAGAACAATTGTTCTTGAAGAACATAGTCTATACTTTCCCTGTAAAATAAAGGACATAATCCAGGTGATCTCCAAGAACTTGTTCAAAAAGTTGTTCTTGAAGAACACCTTCCATCACACTGTTATGGGTACAAAGCTGTAACGGGCACAGCAGAGCTCTTTACAGGTAACGCTTCGCTCAAACTAGAGCTCTCTATAGTTAAAGCTAGACTTAGAGCAGTATCTATGTGATTTACTTAGATCATTACTTAGAGATCGACTTACGGCACTACCTAGAACTCTTATGCAGAGCTCTGGTTTGATAGAGCTTTATCTAGAGCCTTAAAGCTCTGATTATATAAAATTCTTCATAGAGCTCTTGCTTTATAAAGTTAATTTAAAGGCTCTCCTAGAGCTTTAACCAAAGCAATGGCTATATAAAGCTCTATTTAGGGCTCTACTTAGAAACGTGGTGTACAAATGGAGTTTTGCTGTGTACATAGCATGTGTGTGTGTGTGTGTGTGTGTGTGTGTGTGTGTGTGTGTGTGTGTGTGTGTGTGTGTGTGTGTGTGTGTGTGTGTGTGTGTATGTGTGTGTGTGTGTGTGTGTGTGTGTATATATATGTGTGTGTGTGTGTGTGTGTGTGTGTGTGAGGTGTGTGTGTGTGTGTGTGTGTGTGTGTGTGTGTGTGTGTGTGTGTGTGTGTATGTGTGTGTGTGTGTGTGTGTGTGTGTGTGTGTGTGTGTGTGTGTGTGTGTGTGTGTGTGTGTGTGTGTGTGTGTGTGTGTGTGTGTTTATACCATATATGTCGTCAAGGTCTGACCAACCCACGCTTTTGACGCAGAATGCCAGACACCACAGCCTGGTGAACCTACCTACCTGGCGGTGTAGCCTCTGGGACAGTCGACGTTGACGGCCGCCTGGAACAGTATCGCCCACACCATCCACAGTGTGCGAAACAGCGAGAAGCGGTGGCTGTTGGGAGGCTGCATCTGCGAGCAGCAAGATGAGTACACATTCACACACACATACACACGTTACGTCACCGTACACCGTGTGTTGTACACCGTGTGTTGTACACCGTGTGTTGTACACGGTGTGGTGGAGGCTTGCTCCACCACACCTTGTACACAACTGTTATACTTTCCATATAAGCGATTATTCCCCCTCACGCCTCCACGTATCAACCCCCCCCTTTTCAAAACTCAATTCTCTTACATAATATGAGGTATTTAAATCCCCAAGCGAGATGGATTTATGCCACTAATCCATTTAAAATCCGACTTCTGGTACCAAAAAAATGGATGATATTACAATCAATAATCTATAAATCCAACCTATTAATTTATTCAAAATTTGATTTATATTAGAAAAATACGGTATTAAATCCATTAATCCAACCAATAAATCCAATTCAAATTCTGAGGCTATTAAATCCATAAATCCAACCCACTAATCCATTCAGAATCAGATTTCTATTAAAAATGACTGGTATTAAATTTGAGTGAAAGTGTGAGTGAAAGCCTGTGCTAAAGTGTGAGTGAAAGCCTGTGCTAAAGTATGAGTGAAAGCCTGTGCTAAAGTGTGAGTGAAAGCCTGTGCTAAAGTGTGAGTGAAAGCCTGTGCTAAAGTGTGAGTGAAAGCCTGTGTTAAAGTATGAGTGAAAGCCTGTGCTAAAGTGTGAGTGAAAGCCTGTGCTAAAGTGTGAGTGAAAGCCTGTGCTAAAGTGTGAGTGAAAGCCTGTGCTAAAGTGTGAGTAAAAGGCTGAGTGAAACATGTGAGTTAAAAGGTGAGTGGAAAAAAACAATATTATTGCTCATAAAATCATTCACAAGAGTGGAAAAAATCCTGAGTGTAACTGCTTGAAAAGACGAGTGAAAGTGAGTGAAGAGGAGGTGACTGAGCAAAAGAACATGACCAGTGGGAAGGTGATGAGAGTGAGGGAGACTCACCTTCACTCTGCATCCTGAACGACTGGAAGTAAGATAAAGTTCAACACAGGAGATGAAGAAAGTTGCTGAACATGGTATCGCTGAATAAGTTCTCTCTGTCTGTGTCTCCCGGACAGAGGCACCACTGACCGCTGGCACTGAAGGAGTTGCTTGAATGGGGAGAAATCAATAACGACCTCGTCGTCGAAAAGACTGATTCGTGTCGGAATTGTTTCCAGATGAATCTTGTTAATAACGGGGACCATTCATAAGTGGCATACCGCAGGGATCAGTGTCGCCCCCCATTGTTCTTCGTAATTTACACGAAGAAACTTAAGTTAATAAATATCGACATAGACTAGATGACGTTACAGAGGTCGACAAGAAAATTCTGGTATTAAGCTTTTAGACCATTAGGTAAGTTGATGTTTTGGTTGGAAAAGTGACACGCACCTCACTTATAAACTAAATATTACTGAAAATATTTAAACCACACACAAACAGAGTTCTGGATTGCAGAAATATGATTCCTCGATTTATATCAAGAAGGAAATGACATTAAAACCCCACGGTTATACTACAGCTTCGTACAGTACAGGGCTGTAAGGCCTCATTCAGATTATGCAACATAGCTCTGGTCTCCATATACAGAATGGGCACAACAACACAGGAAAGCATGGGAAGATGACAGAATTACATCCCTGTATCAGGAACCCTTCGTCTCCAAGACGTATTACAGATACTGATCCAACACTTTCTTCAATTATCGTAGAGTTAAGAGGGAGGTGACTGAACCGCACAGACAGGAGACAGACATAAATAAAGGGAATACAAATGAGGTGTTTAAAATATCGAATGAAAATACAACTGGCAACAATGAATTAAAAACGGGTAAGTGAAAAGTCAGCAATAACGATGTAGATGAAATAATGAAGAAACTATCAATTTGCTTTACTACAGCTAATACTAAAGAAAATTTAATTAAGTTGACAGGTTATATGATTGAGAATTGTAGTGTGATGAAGCTGCGTATCATGGGCCAGTAGGCCTACACCAGTCTTGAGTGTAAATATCATAGGTTTACTGGCTTATCATGGGCCAGTAGGCCGACAGCAATCTTGAGTGTGAGTTGACTTGCCTATCATAGACCAGTAGGCCTACAGCAGTCTTGAGTGTGAATATCATAGGCCTACTGGCCTATCATGAGTCAGTAGGCCTACAAGAATGCTCCCGGTGTTAGACTGTAAGGACAGTGGGGGTGTCTCACCTTCATATTGAAGCCAGATGGACTAAGCCACTCAAAGAGGAAGATAGAGACAGCAGCCACCTGTATGGCCACCAGCGCCACTAACATCCACGATGCTGTGTCGAACGGTTCTGTACAAGTAGAAACAAGAATAAATTAAACTCTAAGATGATGGCAGCGATTATAATATTACTGAGGTCGAATGTATTATGAACACAGGTTTGTGTACACACCCTACACAGAAAATAAAAGAATTCTGATAGTTAATTGGGGGTTTTTAAAAACCCGTTGACACTTGATTTCTCAAGGCTAACTCAACATTTAGATCAGCCAAAAAAAAGCTTAATCGTTCAAAGAACAAATTAAAATAAATAAGATGAAAGACTGGGAACTTTTCGTTTAGTTTTAAGATTTTTTCGGGGGAAGCCCAAAAAGTTTTTGGGAGGCTTAGCACCCCCGAGCCGCTTTTGTGTACTAAGTAAAGGAAAAAACTTTTACCTTCTTTGAGTTGTATTTTTTTGTCTCCCCCCCCCCCCCCCCCAAATGGGTTCATCATGCTCTTAACCCGGTGTTCCACTGAGGTTTTTTTTTACTTTAATTTGTAATAAATTTCCCCTAAATATCTAATTTTCTGCCCAAAAGGGGGCCCCCGAAGGAGGTCGAAAATATACAGACCAAATTTAATTTTTCCCAGTTTCTGTCTCCATGTGAATTATTAAAAGAAAATAAGATACCCGTTTATTCAAAAAAGCTTCCTAAATTCCTTGTAAAATATAAATAAACTGTAGCATATATCCCGTGTACACCGTTAACCCCTTTTGGGCCCTGTTCCTAGGCTTTTGTGTATCCTATGCTTTGTGCTACCCTCCCTAGGATGGATTTAGGTCCAATTTAAAATAGCCCCTACCATCCCCAGGATGGTTATGAGGTCACAAAAATAGCCACTACCCTCCCCAGGATGGGTTATGAGGGACACAAAAAAATAGATACTTTCCCCGGATGGTTATGAGGTACACAAAAAAATGCCCCAAAATCCCGGATGGTTATGAGGTAACAATAAACTAGCCACTCCATCCCCAGGATGGTTATGAGGCACATAAACTAGCCACTACCATCCCCAAAGGGTGGTTATAGGTCACAATAAACTAGCCACTACCTCCCCAAAGGGTGGGTTTGGGTCCAATAAACTGCACTACCATCCCCAGGATGTTATGGGGTCCAAAAATAGCCATACCATCCACAGGTGGTTATGAGGTACACAAAACTTGCCCTACCTCCACAGGATGGTTTGGGTACACAATTAGCCCCCTACCATCCCGGTTTGGGTTTGAGGTCACAATAAAACTAGCCCTACCATCCACATATGGTTTTTAGGTACACAAATAAAACTAAAAAACCCTACCTCCCGATGGTTATGGGTCACAATAAAATAGCCCTACATCCACAGGATGGTTAGAGGTTACAATAAAACCCCCTCCATCCACAGGATGGGTTTTGAGGTCACAATAAACGCCCCTTTTCCCTCCACAGTATGGTTTTTAGGTACACAATAAAATAGCCCTACCTCCCCAGGTGGTTGAGGTAAACAAAAAACTGCCCTACCCTCCCAGGATGGATGGAGGTACCAAAAACTAGCCCCTACCATCCCAGGATGGTTATGGGTAACAATAAAATAGCCAACATCCCCAGGTTGGTTGAGGTTCACAATAAACTAGCCTACCATCCAAGGATGGATTGAGGACAATAAAATAGCCATACATCCCCAGGATGGATTTGGGACACATAAACTAGCCCTACCATACAGGATGGTTTGGGTACACAATAAAATAGCCACTCCTCCCAAAAGGTGGATTGAGGTACACAATAAATAGCCCCCTACATCCACAGGTGGTATGAGGTACACAATAAAATAGCCACTACCATCCACAGGATGGATATGAGGTCACAATAAACTAGCATACATCCCAGGATGGATTGAGGTACCAAAAATACCCTACCCTCCACAGGTGGTTTGAGGTACACAATAAACTGCCCCCACCATCCCCAGGTGGATATGGGTACACAAAAAACTGCCACTACCTCCCAAAAGGGTGGTTTTTGAGGTTCAAAAAAAAATGCCATACCATCAAAAGGTGGATTGAGGTTTCACATAAAACTAGCACTACCATCCCCAGGATGTTTTTGGGAACAATAAAAGCCACTACCATCACAGGATGGATTTGAGGTACCAAAAAACTAGCCCTTTTCCCTCCACAGGTGGTTATGAGGTAAAAATAAACTAGCCACTACCATCCCCCGGATGGTTTTGGGTACACTAAATGCCCTACCATCCCAGGGGTGGTATGAGGGACACAAAAAACTGCCCCTACCCTCAAGGTTTGGTTTTGAGGTACACAATAAAATAGCACTACCTCCAAGGATGGGGGTTTAGGTCACATAAAAAATAGCCACTCCATCCCCAGGATGGTTATGAGGTACACATAAACTGCCACTACCCTCCCCGGGATTTATGGGGTCACAATAAATAGACTACCCTCCCCAGGGTTTTTATGGGTACACAATAAAACAGCCCCCTACCATCCACAGGATGGATAGAGGTACACTAAACAGCCCACCCCCCAGGTGGTTAGAGGTACACAAATAAATAGCCCCTACCTCCACAGGGTGGAAAAGGTACCAAAAAAACTAGCCCCCTACCACCACAGGAGGTTTGGGTCACAATAAACTGCCACTACCCCCCCCCCCGGATTTTTTTGGGTACACAATAAACTAGCCCTACCTCCACAGGGGGGATTGGGTCCAATAAAATACCAACCCCTCCAAGGATGGTTTTGAGGTCACAATAAATAGCCAAACCTCCACGGAAGGTAGGGTACACAATAAAATAGCCATACAACCCGGATGGTTGGGACACAAAAAACTGCCACTACCATCACAGGTGGTTGAGGACAAATAAATAGCCCTACCTCCAAGGGTGGGTGTGGGTACACAATAAAAAAGCCCCTACCCTCCAAAGGATGGGATGAGGTACACAAAAACTGCCATACCATCCCAGGTGGTTGGGTACACAATAAAAACTAGCCTACCATCCACAGGGGTTTTTGAGGTACACATAAAATAGCCATACCAATCCACGGGTGGTATGAGGTCACAATAAATGCACTACCCTCCCCAGGATGGATGTGAGGTACACTAAATAGCCCTACCATCCACAGGTGGTTGAGGACACAATAAAAATAGCCCCTACCTCCACAGGATGGATTGAGGTCCAAAAAACTAGCCACTACCATCCCGGGGGGTTAGGGTACACAATAAAAATAGCATAAATCCACGGGTGGTATGAGGTACACAATAAAATAGCCATACCATCAAGGATGGTTTGGGTACACAATAAACTAGCCATACCATCCACAGGATGGTTGAGGTAACAATAAACTAGCCATACCCCCCACGGTGTTTTTAGGTCCAATAAAAATAGCCCCCTACCCTCCACAGGTGGTTTTTGGGTACCAATAAACAGCCACTACCATCCACAGGATGGATATAGGACACCCCAAAAAATAGCCACTACCCTCCAAGGATGGTTATGAGGGACCAATAAACTAGCCATACCATCCCCAGGTTTGGTTGAGGTACACAAATAAACTACCACTACCCTCCAAGGATGGTTATGAGGTACACAATAAAACTAGCCCCTACCCTCCACAGGGGTTATGAGGTCAAATAAACTAGCCCCCACCCTCCCCAGGTTTTTTGAGGTACACAATTTTAAATGCCCCTACCCCTCCACGGTGGATTGAGGTACAAATAAACTGCCATACCCTCCACAGGAGGTTTGAGGTACAAATAAACTAGCCACTACCCTCCCCAGGATGGTATGAGGTACACAAAAACTGCCATACCATCCCCAGGTGGTTTTTGAGGTACCAAAAAAAAACCACTACCTCCACAGGGTTTGAGGTACACAATAAACTAGCCCCCCCTCCCAGGATGGATATGAGGTAACCCAATAACTAGCCACTCCCCCCACAGGATGGTTGAGGTCCAATAAAACTGCCACTACCATCCCCGGGGGTTGAGGTACACAAAAAACTAGCCCTACCTCCACAGGGGGGGTATGGGGGGACACAATAAACTACCACTACCATCCCCAGGATGGGTGTGGGTTCAAAATAAACTAGCCACTACCTCCAAGGGGGTTTTGAGGTACACAAAAAATAGCCATACCTCCACAGGATGGATTGAGGTACCAATAAATACCACTACCATCCACAGGATGGTGGAGGTACACAATAAACTAGCCATACCATCCCAGGTTTGGTTGGGTACACAAAAAATAGCCACTACCCCCACAGGTGGATTGAGGTACACAAAAACTGCCCTACCACCACAGGATGGTTTGGGTACACAATAAATGCCCCTCCATCCACAGGTGGATAGGGTACACAATAAACTAGCACACCACCACAGGATGGTTTTGAGGACACAATAAACTAGCCCCTACCCTCCCCCAGGATGGTTTGAGGTTCACAATAACTGCCACTACCATCCAGGTGGGTGTGGGTACCAATAAACTAGCCCTACATCCAAGATGGGTTTTGAGGTTTTAAAATAAAAACTAGCCCCTTCCACCAGGATGGATTGGGGTACACATAAACTAGCCATACCTCCACAGGATGGTATGAGGTCACAATAAAATACCACTCCATCCACAGGGGTGGGTTGAGGACACAATAAACTAGCCAATACCATCCCCAGGTGGTGTGAGGTACCAATAAACTAGCCACTACCATCCAAGGTGGTTTGAGGTACACAAAAACTAGCCCACTAATCCACAGGTGGGTTGAGGACACAATAAAATAAACCACTACCATCCCGGTTTTGGGTTATGGGTAACAATAATTTGCCCCTACCATCCACAGGATGGTATGGGTACACAATAATAGCCATACCATCCCAAAAGGTTGGTTGAGGTAACAAAAACTAGCCACTCCATCCCCAGGATGGTTGAGGTACACAATAAACTGCCCCCTCCCCCCCACAGGTGGATTGGGTACACAATAAATAGCCACTACCCTCCAAAGGATGGTTTTGGGTACACAATAATAGCCACTACCATCCCCAGGGGGTA